TAAATTAATTTGGAAAGCGTGTGTGAATGTGTGATCCCATACTAAGAGCGCCCCCACCTTCCTACAGCGACACACACACACACACACACACACACACACACATTGTGTTCCTTCCACATTTTAACAATAAGGCATATATTATTTAAAATTAGCAGTGTGAACACACACAAACAACTTGAGCGAACACACACCCTTCGTTCTGACACAATAAATGAAGCCTTTTGAGTTCTCCAAACTATTTAAGAAATGGGAAATGAGCAAAGGTGAAAACTTTGGAGACACACGCGTGCACACGAGCGCAAATTAATCCCAATTTGTCGGCCTCGGCACGGGAGAAACTTTTGGGATTTCATACTTCATACCAGCTTTTGTCACCTTTGCGTGAATAGCCGAGGGTTGAAATAATTGTGTTTTTCTTCCCCGAGGCCCAGTCAGCGCTCACAAGCCACTGGCCTACGTAATGTGTTCCAGACAGAGGAGGGGGGGGGGGGCTATACACACCATGGCTATGGGTACAATACAGGGAGCGTGTGTGTGTGTGTGTGTGTGTGTGTTTGTGTGCATGCGTGTGTAAAGGTGATGGAGGTAGGTTGGCGTATGTATGTGTGAGTGGTGGGTGTCATGGTTTTCCACTGTGTGTGTGTGTGTGGTGAGATGAGTGTGTGCGTCTGTGTCAGTATGTGACACTGTGTGACTGTATGAGTGTGTGTACGAAGTGGGAGCTTTGTGGTGTGGAAATGGCCTTAATGGAGTTGGATGTGGTCCACAATAGACAGGAGGACATCACCTCAGAGAGAGGACTGAAAGAGAGAAAGAGAAAAGAGATAGAGAAGGGGAAAGAAAGCAGTGGCAACATGGCCGAAACATCATCGTAAGCCATGATGAAAACACCTTCATATTCAAACACTGGTCCACACATCCTTCCTTTGGATGTCAAAACATTACCTTTAAGGAAAACTGAGCAAACACCCTACAAAAAGATCAGTATTCAGCAGGTTTTTAACCTTTTTGTATGGCTCTGTGACAGATCTTTTCCCTTTTATGCAGCAGAAAAACACAGTCACTCCGACTGCAAGGACTGTCTAGGTTTTGAAGTATTGTAAGTGGCAGTTAAAGGCCGCCACTGCTATTTCAGAATCGATATTTAAAATGTGGCAACATGCAGCAGACAGGCTGTCAAACAGTGTGAGCGGTGATGTGGCAGAGCAGCCATAGATTTGGAAATTCCTTCTTTTCTGAGTGACATTGATGTAATGTGAGTGAAGAAGGTGAAGTATGAGTTGGAGGAAGAGAGATGGGGGAGGAGCAGGGAGAGTGGGCCTTGGAGTGTGTATCACTGTATATTCAATGTATTCAGACATAATAGCTTTTCACTTTAAATACAACAGTCCTGCATATATGTGTGTGTGTGTGTGTGTGTGTGTGTGTGTGTGTGTGTGTGTATTTAAATCCTCCCACAAAGCTTTGAAGATGAGGGAAGTTGGTCTACCATCTCCAGCTTTGGTTGAAAAGCAAACGCATAGAGAATACACACGGACATACATACACACATTAACCCCCCCCCCCGCACATACACACAAAAGAGCCTGTAAGCACAATGCCTTCAAATATAGCCGTCCAATCTTTTGACTCTCAATTTGCCCACCTTTTTGATAATACGTGCATATTTGAAAAAGGGTGAAAGGCAAGGGTAGCATGCAATTTAGAGATACTACTGTGTAGCCATTTTCAGCCTGCCACCTCTCCCTCTCTCTGTCACTCTCTCTCTCTCTCTCTCTCTTTGTGTGTGTGTATTTTGATTATGCGATTCGCCTTGGCAGACGAACAAATAGAGGAGAGAAAAAGGTAGTGTTTGACACTGCCATTTTCAATGACAAAATACAATCTAGCCAGGGCCAGTAATTCGACGGGGAGGGATTAGCCTAGCGCGAGGTTGGGCCCCCAGATTAAGACGAAGCCACAGCGCGGGGATCTTGAATTTCATCATCTCCGGCGCTCAGGCACAATGGCGTATTCTTCCCCTTTCTCCTCCGCTGTCTGATGAGGGGTCAGGAGAACTCACCTCTCCTCTTCTTCTGTGCCTCCTCCTCAGAGCAGCACTCACTACCGCATTCATTCATCTCTCCTGACTTTATATTACCTTAGATACCTGAAGGGTGGGGGTGGCACGGGGGATCTGAGGTGTCTGTCCACTCATGCTTACATAAGCAGAGTCAGAATAAAATATGATCAGACATATAATAAACATCTAATATGTATGGATTACATTACACCTTTTGTCACACATACATCAACACAGACATACGGGCGCATGCTTCCTCACAAAGATACCTCTCCAACTGACACACAGATATACACAGACAAACACACAGGTGACATAAGGGGGTGATCCAATGAATTAAGTAGAAAATATCTGTACAAGGGTTTTCACAGATCTTAGGGTAGACTGCCCTCTTGTGGTCAGTTTATATAGATCCTTAATTTCTGCTTGTCCGCTCTGTGAATGGTGAGAAATCACCATTAAAAGATTATTAGGAGTCTTTCAAATTAAAGGGCAAACTGGATTTTGTTGAGGCATTATTCAGTCTATTGTCTCCTGCTTACCAGGGTTTTATTATTACTCAAGGGCCATTAAAATACACTGTGTGTGTGTGTGTGTGTGTGTGTGTGTGTGTGTGTATGTGTGTGTGTGTGTGAGAAAGTATTTTCTAAATAAACAGACATAGCAATCCTTCAACCATAAAATCATATTAGTCTTTCTCTCATTTTGTTTTTCCCATCTCTCCATCATTTCCCTCCCTCTGCATCTGTGTATGTGAAGGTCTAAGGTTGCCTCCTCCCTCTCCTCCATTCCTTTTTTTTCCTCCCTCTTCTGTGCTCTCCATTCCTGGTGCGGCTTTGATCTTTCTGTCATTAGTCAGGTATGCAGAGACACAGTCAAACCCACAAACTTGTCTTTTTCTCTCCCTTTCTTGCTCTCTTTTTGCTCTCTCCCACGCTCTGGCCGGAGAACACCGGCTGACCTGCTTGTCTTCTCAGCTTTCTATCAAAGACAGAAAGGTAGAGCAGTTTCTGCTGTCGTTCCTTTGAGCTTGACATGTACAGAAAGTGACAGTGTCAAAGCACTCAGCCACTCTTTTTTTCTACCAACATTCTTAAAAAAAAGAAAAAAAGAAAGAGGGTTGAGGAGTCTCAGAGGTCTGTCCTTGTTGATTACTAATGACACTCGCTCGCTAAACAGTCAAAAAGATTTATTTGCTCGTCTTAGTCAGTCACTCTTGAGATTGTTGCACAAGTTTAAAGACTAATTCCTGCCAATAGCTATCCCCTTGACATAACAGAAAGCTACTGTTTCCTTTAGATGCAGTAAATCCGTTACTAAAAAGCATACAAGAGCTATAATTTCATAAGAACAAAAGCTTTTATGACAGCAAATACAAAGTAAGACTAGGAATCTACTTTTTCCCAACTGGTGACAGCAGTTTTGGCAACACATGTAAAGGCTTGTATTCCTCAGAAAGTCAAGGCTGCCAAAAGGTGCGACAGTTCCTGAAAATGAAAGACCCTGCAGACTCTATTGGTGATCTTTCGATCTGGGCTTCCTCCGAATCTTGACCAACACAAACAAAATGTGAGCAGCAGAGAGAGTTATTTGAAAACTTATAGAGACTGCACTGTGATATGTGTCAGTGCGTACTCAATAGGCTGGGTATCCTTCAACTACAGAACCAGAACAAGCATCTGACATCTGACAGCACAAACTCACTCTATTGAAGCGCCTGAGCAAGACACAGACTCCCTGCAAGATAGAAAGGCTCGTGCCTTTGTCTGTCCAGCAGCAATAAGTCTCATAGAGCAAAACAACATATCATTATCAATTTTATCACTACAACAATTAGCACAATGATGGCATGTGCTGTTAGGTCTCCTTCCAGTGTCACAGTGTACAAACTGACTCTAATACAGACAATATTTGCAGACAAAAGGGTTGAGGAGACACCACGTCGCAGCCCTGCCAAGGAGAGCATTAGTCATAGGTTTCTGAAGAACTCTAAATTTTCCACTAACAGCTTAAGGCAATGTGTAAGTACAAAGGCCTCGTTTGTTCAACATGTCTGTATCATTTAGGCAAACATATCACAGAACTGGCTCCAGCAGATGTATGGAACACAGAAAAATCACTTTTGAGCAGCAAGTTTCGAATTTCCTGGCAGACTGCTCAAACATGTATAAATAGTATAGTATAAATAGTCTCCACCTCTCTCTCTATTCCCTCAGTCCATCTTTTCTCCTCTCTCATACTGCTTCATCGATTTCTCTTACTTCTCGACCTTCCCTGTTTCGTTATTAGCTATGAGTCTGAGTTTTCATCTAATACTCCATCGAACGCTGTTGCTTCTGTTGCCTTAAACAGTGGTGTGACCAGTATAACAAAAACATAGAAAAGGGTAAAAGAATTACTGTTATAGAAATGGCAGTTGTTCTAAACATGTGGTAACATCAAATGAACAAAATAAAATAAATAAGTAAATAAATTCATAGATAAATGCTGCCAATCCCCACACACACACACACACACACACACACACACACGCAAAAACTTTTTGTTGTGGTCATGCATGTAGGACAACATGATCCAAGTCAACACTTACTGGTTTAACCTGAGGGCTTGCATTCCCACTGAGAGAAGCATGTAATAACATAAGCTGACCACATGGTGGCAGAACCTGCATGTGTAATGCAAAGAGGATTTACCTTGAAAATAGCTGAAAATGAGGAATTTATTTCTTCGTGTTGTTTTACCCAAAGCTGTAAACCCCGTTCATTCTAAATGACAGTGCATGTGGCCTTTGAGCAAGAGACTTCACCATACATACATATTTTTTTGCTCCCTTGAGATTAAAATAAATACAAACCAAACCAAAGTGCAGTGCAATAATACACAATACACACACAAGACTGAGGAGACAAAAGGATAAGAGATATAGTTTAGTACTCACATTTTCAATGACAAACGTCCACTCTTTGTCTTCAAACTCCTCTGCGTGGGGATCCTGCAAGGCCAGCCGAACAAGACATGCTTCAGTACATAATAATAAGTATATCAGAGCAGAGTGAAAACACAGCATCAAAACTTCCATTTCAAAATTAATTATTTATCCTGTAAACAATCTTGAGCAACACTCACTTTGCAATCTTCTGTTAACAATCTTGAAACGGTTCATTTCATTTATTGAGGATTACAATCTTGGTCCTAACTGTGCCAGGAGACTTACGACACAGAAAACACAGTGTGACAGCTCGTCTGCTCTGCCAACACTCTCTCTACTCTGACGTGGTTCACCCACTGACCTGGTTTGTCTCTTTCCCCTCTCATACAGGCATCAAATGTTTTTGCATTAATGAGGCTACCTTAAATTACATGACAAAGAGCTACTGAGTCTGTCTGGTCTATATCTATGTATACCTGCACATGGCTGGTGGATGTGAAATACATTTTGGTGTGTAATTGTAATTTATGCGGAATCGATCTTTAACCTGAGCAGAGAGGAAAACTGCAACACTGACATGAGATATCATCGATGTTTCTCTCTCTGTCTCTCTGTCAGGCTGGTTGCTTCTGTGATGATATACAGTACTCCTGTTTCTGTGCTGTCTAACTTCCTGCCCTCATCCCTGTCTTGCTGTGAGGTGATGAGAGGAGACAGTAATGGAGGCAGAGAGACGGCAGGCTGCCCTGTCTTAGCATGCTGGCATGGATGACCTTCACTGCCCTCAAGGAGCAGAAACACACACAGGACCACATTCACACAAAACCGCAAATCACTGCTGGACACACAAAGACATGCAAATCTAACCTGATCAACCCACCCCTGATTCATGCAACAGGCTAACACGCATTTATAACAGAGCCAATGCATGCTCAAACCAATGCACACATAGGTGCACACCCTCACTGCACAGTGCACTGCTGAAACAACTGAAAACATGAAATTACTGATTTTTCAATGGAATGATAAAATGCCAATTTTATTGTTAATTAAGTCACTTATCAAGTAAAAACTAAATATTTACCAGCAATAGCTTCTCAAATTCACTGCATTTCTTTCTTATTATCAGAAACTGAATACTGATGTAATGAGCCCTTTCAATACATCACTTTGGCCTCTGAGATATGTGATAGGCTTTGTCTATTATTACTGTTCCTATTACTGCTATTACTAATCAATGAAATCAACACTAATTGTTATTACAGCCCCAGCATGTAGAACACATGCACACAAGCAAACACATGCACTGATGGGTTTTCTGTCTAACTGCACTTGTGACACACCCCAGGAAATCAATATCCCTGCAGTCTGGCACAACAATCAAACAACGCCCACGTGAGGAGAAGCACACACACAGACACACACACACACACACGTACACACACACACATACATCTGCCTCATCCTAACAAATTTTTAATGCTCCATTATTTCACAACCGCATAACAGCTTCTAAAAGGCAACAGAGCGTGGCAATACCAGCCATCTTAGTTTATTCTCAGTTTATGGTGATGTCTGCAGTTTTTAGTGCTGCTGGTAAACATAACTCTCTGACGGTATACCACATTTTTTGGAAATACTGATGTCGTTAACATATTTCAACATTAACAAGGGTCTTCATTGATAAAATACTTGACACAGTTGTGCTTGTGCAAACAAACATTTAGCTCCTCTACAAGTTTGGAAAATGCAGATGCATTAAAAAAATTCACAAGCCAAGCCCCAAGTGTTTTACTAAGGATCGGCTAGTACTAAGTGTCCACTCTGCTTTCTGCACATCCTCTCTGTTAGGATCGATTCTGTCTGCAGAATGAGCACTGCCCGGTTAAGTTACTTCTTAATTTAACTGTTTTCTGGTGTACATCTCCCTGAAGTACAGGCCACAATATTGCTGAGCTCAGCTGTTTTTACTGCAAAGCTTCAGGCCACACAGAGCTATGAGAGTATGTTTAAATCACTGTTCGAGGTCGACACACTGCAGAAACATCTGAATAGATATTTGAGTTTAAGAAATTTAGACCTGCATTAAACAATATAACAATATTAAGCAATATTTTTGCTATTAAAGGGGTACTTCCAGCTATTCATTGTTGCTCTTCCAGAGAGTTAGGGGATTCAAGAGACAGATTTAAAAAAGAATGGCCAGAAATGTTGCAGTGGAGTCGAGATGAGATATCCTTACTTACGTAAGAAAGTTGAACGTCTAGCAAACTAAGCCCCTGCATATTTTTCTCAGCAGTTTGTGGAGCGTGAACCAGAAGTAAAAGGCAGTGAGTGACTTATATTGGTCAGGTTTCCAGATCTACACCTGCTATGAGATTCTCTGGTTGGTCTGTGGCTGTTAGTTGGCAGCTCGTCTTGCCATCTTATAGATGGCAGAGGCGATGCTGTTTGATCTGTGGCTTTATCTAACAGTAGTGGGCGAGTTGTGCAGTCAGTGGCTTTGCTTTGTGCCTCATCACAAAAACAGCTTTATTACTTCCTCTGGGACAGGAAGTGGAAGTGGGCTCAGAATAAAGCAACACTGACATGTTCACTGGTGCTAAACAAGCACAGGCCTAGAAAACTGGGCCAGTACACATGAAAGTCAGACTTTTTCCATGGGTGCATTTAACTAGCAGACATCACAGAACGTTTTTACAAAGGTCTGGAGATAAAGAAAAGTCTCAGATTTGTATTTTCATTATGCAGGAGTTTACCTGAAGCATTGTAAGGACCTTCTGTATCAAGTGCCTGATTGGAATTTTCTACGATGTTTTTATATAGTTGATAATGTATACATCTATGAATGAAATGTAAAAAGCGAACAACACGTCCACAGAGCAGAGGCAGGTGTGGAGGCATTTACAGGTGAAAGCACAGAGAGGTAACAGGACACTGAGCTCTGAGCTCGCCTGTCAGCACAAAGGCATGTTTAAGTAAGCTAGGCACAGTGACAGATACTGTCTGTACCTGTATGTCATTTACAGACATAACTGTACCACTATACATATATGGACATTCCATTCATAAAATACATTTCGAATTTTCAACCCTCACTTTACCACATAGTCTAAATGTTGTTTGTGCGTAACCTTTTTAATGCACAAATAATCCGGGCAAACATAAAGATAACAGCATTTTGTATTTCTCAAAATCAAGACTACAATCCCTATTGAGACCATTGTCTAAATCTCATTATTTGCAATTTCTTATGCACTCGGAAAAATTTCAATATACAAACTTGATATTAATTTGATATGAAGTCATATGTCGACTGGCATAAAGTCCACCCCAAACAGAGCTATGCTTGTGTCAGTGCTTACCTTAAAAAGAGTGACTGTGATCTCAATGTTTTCTGGTACAGGCCACACCACCACTCCTCTGTAAGGATTTTTGATACCAGGCTGCCAGCTGTGGGCCTGCAAGAGAATTTCATTTATTTATTTATTTATCTATTTTTTTTAAATCATATTTGTGAGATGTGTATGTTTTATTGTTTCTTTACTTTATTTCAGAATGCCCCTCATCAAGAAACAAACCTTGGAAGATTTCCGTCGACTCCTGCGTGTCCACACCACCACCAGTTTGTCTGGTTGCCTGATAGAAAAGACAAAAAACAAAGTTTAGTGAAAAGTGACTCATTCATCAATGCAGTTGTCTTTGTGTCTCTGTTTCTACCAACATATCAATATCATGTTCAGACTTTCAGACCAATTGATTAAAGCTTGCATCTTACTGCCTGAAGTTTTAAATCCCTGATAAGCATACTACTGCACACACACACACACATACATACACACACACACCGACAACACATACACACACCTGCAGAGTCATTCATGGTATGAATAAATCATGAGACACAGCTAAACCCTGGCTTTGTCTCTGTGGACTGCAGCACAGACATCAGGACACACACACATGCAGTAACATACACACACAGTTACAACAACCTAACCCAGAACAGGTCACAGTCACACTGAACTGACAAGTGTCAGGAGACACGGTGTAACCCAATAGTCAAACATGAATTAAATTAAATAGCAAATGGGGAGAGCAGAGTGCAAGTAAAAGCCATAAGTCCAAAATACAAGTGAAAAACTAAAGACAACATATATCATAAAGACTGTTTGAGTTTAGCATGAAAGAGAGGTGAAGTGCTGAGAGAAGTGACACACAAAGCAGTCTGGGTGTTGAGACAGATTAGCTGCTGTAAGACGCTCAACACGGCTCAAGGTGGACGTCTTTGTCGTATATGTGTCAAACTGAGTTGAAGTGTGTGATGTGAATACAACAGAGGCATGGGTCTGTTAAAAAGCTGCTTAAATGCCTAAACCACAATGTATTGTTTTTCATAGTACATAGCCAATAAGTGTGTTCAGTGCAACTGTGTAATACAGTGCAGCAGTCACAGTCCACTGACACTATTTTCAGCATGTGCATCATAATTAAGAAAGTAAAATAACTCTTAATCAACTGTAAATATTAAAGATGCGCCGATGGCTTAGTCCTTAAAAGAGCATTGGCTGACATTCACACCCATTTAAAAAAAACTTCTCTCCATCAAGCACACTCTTCATAATCATAAAGATAAACCTCAATGCAACTGCTTCATAGATCATAAACGTCTCACTACTTGCTCTTGATGTGAGAGGAACTCAAACAAATTGAGGACTGCTGAATGTTACACATTCTACGCTTTATAGACAGAATGAGAAATCATCCAAAACACAGCCAAAGCATTAACTTAGCTGGCAAGTTGACAAGTTTGGACCTGCTTGCTTGTCACTCCTGGTGCATACTGTGGAGGAGCGTGTGTGAGCGGTGGAGGGTGAAAGACCTGTTCCACTGTGAATGTTATGTAAAGGTAAGACGATACAAAGAAAAGCTACTGCAATCAATGTCGTAGAAATTTTTTGATTTACTCTTTAAGAGTACTTTTTATATCTTACTAGTAATGCAACAAATTGGCATCGGCCTGATACTGACATTATTAAGTGGATCGGACATCACTTCAGACCAACAACTTTTGATGCCATAGCAATCGCTTACCTCATGTTACATTGCATTAATTTTATTTATTCCTATATTTTAGGCCAAACCACAACCAAACTGTCAGGACCCACCTGACCCTGATGAAGTGCCTTCATAAAAAGAAACCATGATTTGGATTTTAGCCATAGACAAGAGGTGCAGATGCCAAAAAACAAGACTGTGTCAATAGGAGAGTCCAGGTTTCAGCCCCTGTTAGCCCATGCTACGAAGCTGACCTCTGACCTTACTAGCAAGAAAATAAAGGGAGGAAATTGCCCTGCAGGGATCAATTAAAATCATTTAATTCTATTTTGTCAGGCCTTGTTAAAGCCCACCCCATTAACACACTGATGGTCCAGGCTAATATTCATTTACTACAGATAGGTCACTATTGGAGTATAAGTTAAAGAAATTGCAATACAGAAACAGTATAGTAAAGATATGTTTTAAGTTAAGATATATTCATTTTTTAACAGTATCTTGGCCACAGTTCTTCAATGACAAAATTTAAGTGATTGTCATCATATATGTGTAGCCCACTAATTAGACAGCACCACATATGAAAAGAATGTGGTAATATTCCTCTATCAGTGTGTTGGATATATACCCATTTATAGTTGGTGTGCATTTACTATCCTCTGCATTCTAGATAAAGAATGACTGACTTTGTGACAGAGAGCGAGAGAGAGAAAACAGGAGGAAAAGACAGGATATTAGAACAGAGGGACAGACAAAGAAAGCCAAGGAAAGAAGTGAGAGGGAAAAGAGAAGAGAGGAGAGAGGGGAATGACAGGCAACAACTTCAGCCTTGAGGAGAGGACTTGCATAGAGAAGCTATTGTCCAACAACACAGGCCATATCAGAAAGCATGCACATGCACACAAAATATCACCCTCTGTTTTTTCTCTTTGTACTGTACTCGCTGTGCTATGAGAAAAATGTAAACCATTTGTCTGCAGGCTAACTGACTTCTGAACACTTTCTGGTGTCTCTTGTGATCAGCTTCGACCTCACTGCGGCATGTTCGTTCTGTGTGTAACAGGAATCAATGAGCCATCAGAGAGGAATGCCACAAAAAAAGAAAAATGTGATGAGGATGGAAAGCGAGACCCTGAAGAAGGACATGTAACGTGTACATTCATCAGCCCTCAATCACAAAAAAGTTATTTTTTAACATTAAGGCCTTCAGTTTACAGTGGATTCAGTTTATAATGGATGGAGATAATGAGTACACATATGGCCGTACATATGTGTTTCTTTGTAATGATCTGTTTTTTTGCATTGACGATGGAGCACCCTGCAACTGTTTCACATTATCCTAATGGATGTAGAACAAATAAAGTTTTTGTACTTCAGTATTTGCTTCCACTAGTAAGTGTGAGCTCAGGTGCCTCCCATTCTCTTGATTATCTTTGAGAAGTTTCTACACTTGGACAAAGTTTGTAACAACCTCAAGGAAGATTCCTGAGCATTTGGAGGAGAATGGCCTCGGTAACAGGGGTGACTAACCCCATGGTCACTCCAGCTGAGCTCCAGAAATCCCATGTAGAGATGGGAGAAATTTCTCAAGAAGGACAACCATCCCTGCAACACTCCACAGATCTGGGCTTTATGGCAGAGTGGCCAGGTGCACTCGTCTCCTCAGTGAAAGACACATGAAACCCACTTAGAGTTTGCAAATAAGGATTAAAAGACTCAAACTCTCAGACTGCAAGATATAAGATTCTCTGGTCTGATTAACCCAAGATTGAACTGTTTGGCCTATATTGGAGGAAACCAGGCACTGCTCAACACCTGCCCAATACCATCCCAACAGTGAAGCATGGGGGTGGCAGCATCTGGCTGTGGGGTGCTTTTCAGCAGCAGGGACAGGGACACTGGTCAGGGTTGAGGAAAAACTGAACAGAGCTGGTCCAGAGCACTCGAAACAACAAAATGTCTGAATACTTTTTGAATGCACTGTCAACATTTGACCACATTTGTCTCACAGAAACAGGTAACTACGCCTCTCAGAGCAGGAGCTTTGACGTCCAACAGACTTCATGTCTACCTGTCAATTAGACATTAGGAGACGAGAATGTAGATTTCTTTGTGCTTTAAGACAGTAGTTATGAGAGATGAAATATAACAGACTACAACTCTGTGATGCATGCTAAAAACAGACACTCTGCAATACAGACAAGCACACAGTGATATGTAATCTCTCTAACTAATACCACACTGCAATGCATGTAAGGTTATTTCCTTGTAGTGTATAATGCGGTTGTTGAGAGTAGACTGCTGGGATATAAGATGTGATGTAAGTAGTCAATTCAATGTCTGTGATTTATATAATCTTGCAATGCTGCATTCCTACTTTATACAGTACATCCTATACCGTGAATGTCTATCTTAATACTGTGCTTATGCAACAGTGCAACTGGGATATAATAACCCATGCATAGTTGTGTACAAAGATGCTTGTTTTGCTTCTCTCAACCCTTGACTAGCTTAAATCCAGGGTATGAAAGCTTTTACATGTTCTAAAACACTAAACAGCACATGTATTATGCATTGCATACACTAAATAGTGAATTTTATGTTTCCAAAACCAGCCATAGCTGTTTGCCTGGATTAAACCGGATCTAGCCCCTGCACATACTGCAAAATCAGCTGTACTGTTGGGGGAACTCTACTGAGGTCCCCCCAGTGAGAGCTGTTAAGAGATATTTTCTCTTTTATGCATGGAGAGATGGTTTAAGTTTGATGGTGTCAGGTAAGCCTCAGCCTTGTCTTTACAACATGGAGTCATTGTGCTCTGTATTTTTGTGTTTTCCCCAGTCATATGGAGCTGTTTAAAGGAATATATAAATAAAGTTATGGTTGATGATATCACTGGACCCACACTCTGACAAGTGATATGCAGTATAGGAGTGTATATGCACATGCATATCTGCAGTGCTAAAAGACTGCTATGTCTGATTAGCACCAAAGATAAGGTCAAAATGAAAGAAATGACACGGTAACAATTAAAATGCTTTTAAAGTACCGTTTGCACGCAGCCCCTTCAAAAGCGTAGCTGAAAGATTTATTTTTCATACCTGACCTACTTGGCAATTTCTGATTCAGCAAAGACAGCGACAGCAAGATGGTCGAGAGTGAAAGAGACAAATGAAAGGGAGAAGAGGAAGAAAGAGAACGAGAGAAACAGAGAAGAAGGACTGCTCTCACTTTGCTATGCTATCAGTCAGACTGGCTTCTGCTATCAAGACAGATGTAGCCGAGCAAACACAATCTGTGTGACTGTCACACTCCAGACTGCCTGATAAACTTAACATACAAACACACACATACTAGACATTACGTGACAGGGCGAAGTGCCATTTTAAATTTAAATCATGTCTGTATAATGCAATGTTCACAGTGTGTGATCAGCAATTTTTTATTTTTTTTAAATTGTCCTATCTACTACCTGTTATTTCATTTTCTGCATCAGCATTTCTTTGATGTTTTGCTGAATTTCCTTTTATCATTGTATGAACTAATTTTATATTTTTTTACCAGGCAAAACTCTACCAATAAAA